CCTGAAGCTGGTTCAACACTTTGGATCGAGCCAACATTACGCTGTTGTGCCTTTTACCCTCCACCGGGCCATAGAGGGTAGCAATAAGGCCGTTGGGTGTAGCAATGGACTTAAATTTCATTGAATGTACTTTCGTAGGGCCGTTGTACATCATCCGCTCCTTTCTCGCTGATAATTTCTGTGAATGTCTACAAAGGTGGGCGACTTATCCACGGCTGATCCAATCCAACAGCAAACGTATCCAGTCAGTGCAAATGGAATCCATCACAGTATGCGAAATCATTCAAAGTTGAGGCTCAGGTATCGCGAATCGTGGTATCAATTCCACTTACCTGCTCGGGCAGGCAAACCGCCTGAGAAATATATAGAATGCCTCAGTTGTGTCCATGTTGACGTCGTTATAGCAAACAATCAGGCCTGGAGGGTTCAATACTTCAGTAAGTTCTTGCATTCTTTATCTGTCATCATGTCCAGATTGAAGCGTTCGTGGCTCCAATATAGAATAAAAGGATTTTTGGGAGAACTTAACGTTATATAGAAACAAGTACTCTGTATCATCGATCAAATTACGGGCATAAGCCATGAGAATAGTGTCTCTTACTTTTGGCATGGCAGATATTAGCAAGGACGAAATCGGCAAGACACTCAGTAAACTTTCAAAGGTTCACAATTGCTGGAATAAGAAACTCACGGTTTCCAAGATCTTTTCGTAATGTAAACTTTTGGCAGGAACGCCGACGGCAACTGACGGCCTCGACGTTGAGTCCCTTTACGTCGCCGTCGCCATAAGGTCTCGGGTGACTGTTTCGAGGTACGCGGAAGTTAAGCGTTAAGTGGACTATGTCAGAGGATCGCCTGATTTCCCAAGGTATTACTTTACGGAAGAAGGGCTAGGACTTTCAAAATAAATTATTTGTTTCTTATATCACTATCATGCCTTGCCAACCGGAGCTATACAGCAGGCGCTTGACCCATTTTGTGTCGCAAAAAGCAACTGGGACTACCCGGTAAGTTAGCTCGTTGGACGTTGGAGGGGAAGAAAAATATCTGTATAAATTCTATGCATGCTCAGCACTCTTGTAGTTTAAGCAATTTATACGACAGGATCCAACGAGCTTTAGATATAGTGGCCTTCCAAGGGTACTTGTTTGTTTTTGGTCTTCAGAGAAAGGTGATAAAGTGGACGTGGCCTCAATTGGCATGTCAGTAGTTTGACACCATAAGAAGCATTGATGAGCTGGAGTCCAGAATTATTTCGTTCAAAAGGAAGCAGTAAATAGTTGTTCACTGGATTACTGACGTCAAGGCGAGCAACCATGCAAGGTTCAGGCAAGATGCTAACTGAAGGAACGAACAGATCCACGACAGATCAGACGAACAACAAGCAATGTGAAAATGATACAAAAAAGTTTAATTCACTCTTAAATCATTCTTTGGGGAGACAAGTACATAAGTATATAGGAGTTTACCAAACTATGGTTTTGAAAAAGGTAACGCTTTCATATCAAATGGGTGTTGTTCTGTGTAATGGAAAAAAACTTCGCACCTGAACCAATCCTTGGAATGGCTTGAGAAAACTCTGGGAGAATCTCTAAAGTTGGTCGTTGGACATAATAACAAGCCGGTATTATTAACGCGGTCGCAATGATAAAAAAACTGAATTTTTATTGGTGCCTGAGAGAATGCGGTCATGTTTTTGGGGAGCTCGCCATATGGCACTAGGTAGAACCGGAGTCTAGCACGCCGGTGAAAAAGGTGGGGGGGGGGGGGGGAAGTAGGGGACACAACATCCGATTTATGTTCTGTATCTTAAGCTGCTGTACTAATTTATCTTTTCGAACCGCCGTAAGTAGCAGACGACTTTTGCGCTCCGTCATCGTTCATATTATTACTTCGCTTAAGGCCAGATAGGCTTGATTTCCGCCGCTCTATAGCTGGCCCAGTCTGTGATCCTCCCCGATGAGATACCGCACTTTGCTTGACGCGTTCACCTAGTTTCCAAAGTAACAAATCACATTTATTTTGTCTTGTTTTCCTTAGTAGTTTGTCCTGTCGGTAAATGTGCTCACGTTGTGGCTGGGTCATCCAATAATGTTCTGCCATTAAAATATATTCAATGGAGAAGAAACTAATTGAAACGGTAAGTTAACTGCCAAAGATAAGAAAGACCACAGGGTATAGACTTATTTCTTTTTATAGACCCCATTGCTCCGGTCTTGGAGCATTGACAAATTAAGCAGACCAAAGGTGATAGCAATGAACGACCAAAGGACTACTTCTTGTCTGCGACATGGCGATGAATTCGTCATTTAACCTACTTAGAACTTCATTCAGGTCCAATTTCAGCTTGTGAATCGTAACATTTGTCTGAATATTTCTTGTGAATGGGTGATCAAAATGTAGGGATCAATTTGTTTTGTCACTCGGTATGAGTACGCAAGGAATTGTGTTTTTCACTAAACCACTCTTTGTAGGAAGTAACAAAACTGCGGTGGTCAAAGGCTGCTTATACTGTCATTAACTAGGTCAGTGGAATGAGTCAACGATGTCTGGCGGGTAGCAGAAGGGTTGTGAGCTGTTAACTTTTTGACGTCAGTGTATCAGAAAAACAAAACCTAATTAAGGGGACCAACGGAATGGCGAGAGTACCTGTTAAAGATAAGAAACATTAAACGGCATAAACTTATTTTTTGTATGGTCCTCATTTCTCCGGTCCTGGGGCAATGGGCAATTAAGGGGACCAAAGTGATCGAAATTTTTCAACGGAAACGAAAGATGAAAAGACTATTTTTTTTGTCCAAAGAACCGACTGAAAAATGTTTTTTTCTTGACGTACGTTATCTACACTTTTAAGTGTTGTGAGAAATCCAGATGATTTGCATTTTTTTGACTGATCTGTTAATGACGTATCAGCCCAACTTCTAGTAGGATAAGCATAGCAAAGTTCTTTGAGACCTCCGTTAAATCAGGAGGTTCTAGGGTGGCTTCTTTGCTCTGCATTGCCCTGCCGTGTAATCTTTGGTGAACATCGGACTGAATTTTAAAGATAAGGAAGATTAAAGGGTATAAACTTATTCTTTTGTATAGTTCCCACTGCTCCGGTCCTATGGCAATGAACAGTTAAGGGGACCTAAGGTGATTGAAATTTATCAATGCATAAGAACAATGAAAAATGTTTTTGGTGACGTGCGTTATCTCCACCTCTAAGTGTTTTGGGAGATTCCGATTTTTTCTGCATTTTACTATTGATTTGTCCAAGACCCATTAGCTCAATACTAGTGTGATAAACATCGCAAGTTCCTCGAGAATTAAGTTAAATCAGGCGCTTCTAGGGTATAAGCGTAGTCGAAATGTAATTACTTTAAAGGTAAGCTATAGGTCAGTAAGCTTCTTTGTTGCCCTGCCGCATAGTCTTTGGTGAAAATTGGAATAAATTTAAAGATATGTAAGATTATAGGGTATAAACTTATTTATTTGTATAGTCCCCGTTACTCCGGTCCTGGTGCAATGAACAACTAAGGGACTCAGGGTAATCGAAACTTTCAAAGGATAAAAAAGATTGACAATGTTTTTTCGTGACGCACGCTATCTCTACTTTTAAGTGTTTTGGCAAATCCTGATTGTTTTGCATTTTCCTACTGATCTGTTGATGGCGCATCAGCCAAATTATCATGATCAATTTATGTGATGAAATGAAAGCCCCAAAGGATTTTTTGAAAAGAAAAATTGAACTTAGTCTAAGGAAATTAATCTCGTTGCTCGTTTTGAACAAATAACTAAGAAATTCAGGTAAAATTTCAAAGGGAAAGCGGCTTTCTTTTTTGCTTGCGACGGTCCCCATAATTTTTACTGCAAGATAACGATATGTCTGCACATATGGCATGAGCATTTTTGTGATAGAAAAGACGAGAAACTTAATGAAAACAACTTATTTTCCTTTGGTAAGATATCTCTTGAAAGGGCTATATCGGGTGAAATAATCATCAAAATGCACGGATGTGTTTTCTCGTCATTTTTAGGGTCCCCACATGGTGGATTATGACTTAGGTAAAATTTCTAGCGCAAATGTAATTGTCATTTTCAAAATTTTGACCAAATAATGGGCTTGTTAGGTGGAGCTTTGCTAAGGAGAGCGATATCATTTCGATGGAATCCTGACGCACAAAGAAAGCAACGGATTCAACAGGAAATAAAAATTGGCGGTAAATTATTAAATACACACGCAAAAAAATAAAAACAGTACAGACTGGCCCAAAAAAACAAATGCTCAAGACGGCGTAAGTTAACATGCTACGTTGATGGAATATATGTATGAATTTAGGAGATAAGATCTTGCTAGAAGCGGGTGCTCATCAAATACACGGGGTAAAGTTATTGTGAAAATATAGCGCCATAGTTAATAAGTCCACACGTGCTCTGCAAACGAAATTTCCCGCACAATTCTGTAACAGAAGTACGATGGTTAAAGGCTGCTTTTTCTCCTATAAACTAAGTCGGTGCAATAAGTCAACGTTTACTGGCGGTAAGCAGGAGGGATGGAAGCTGTTAACTTTTTGACGTTAGTGTTATGTATCGAAACAACAAAACCTAATTAAGGGGAACCTGTTAAAGATAAGAAACATTAAACGGCACAAATTTATTTTTTGTGTAGTCCCCATTTCTCTGGTCCTGGGGCAATGAGCAATTAAGGGGACCAAAGGTGATCGAAATGCGTCCACGGGTAAGAAAGATGAAAAGACTATTTTTTTTTGTCTAAAGAACCGAGTGAAAAATGTTTTTTCGTGACGTGCGTTATCTCTACTTTTAAGTATTGTGACAAATCCAAATTTTTTGCATTTTTTACTGATCTTTTAACTTGTTTATTTGTATAGTCCCCATTTCTCCGGTCCTGGGGCAATGAACAATTAAGAGGACCTAAGGTGATCGAAATTTGTCAATGGATAAGAAACTATTTTAAGGTAAGCTATAAGTTGCTATGTTCTTTAACTTTTATTTTTCTGTTCTACATTGTCCCTACCGGATAATCTTTGGTGAACAACGGAGCAAATTTTAACTTGGTCCCCACATTGTCCGAAGACAATATTTTAGTCGTGCAGTGTAACTGATTGCTGTGATTATCATGATCAATTTATGTGATGAAATGAAAGCACCAAGCCTTTTCCACGGGAAGAATTGAACCTAGTTTGAGGGAATTTATTTAGCTGGTCGTTTCGAATTGAACGGTTGACTAAGAAATTAGGGTAAAATTGCGAAGAGAAAGCGGCTTTCTTTTTTTCTTGCGACGGTCCCCATAATTTTTCACTACATGATAACAAAATGTCTGCACATGAGGCATGAGCAGTTTGGTGATAGGACAGAAACTTAATGAGAACAACTTAATGTTTCTTTGGGTCAGATATTTATTGGAAGAGGCTATATCGGGTGAAATAATAAACAAAATGCTCGGTGGGCAAAGGCTGCTTATGCTGTCTACTAAGTCAGTGCAATGAGTAAACGTTTACTGGCGGGTAGCAGAGGGATACAAGTTGTTAACGTTTTGACTTCAGTGTAATGTATCGAAAAACAAAAACCCTAATTAAGGGGACCCACGGAGTGGTGAGTGAATCTGTTCAAGATAGGAAACATTAGACGGCATAAATTTATTTTTTTTGTAGTTCCCATTGCTCCGGTCTTGGGGCAACGAACAATTTAGGGGACCAAAGGTGATCGAAATTTGTCAAAGGATAAGAAAGATGAAAAGACTATTTTTTGTCTAAAGAACCGAGTGAAAATGTTTTTTCGTGACGTGCGTTATCTCTACTTCTAAGTGTTGTGATAAATCCAAATGTTTTGCATTTTTTTACTGATCTGTTAATGAAACATAAGCCCAACTGCCAGTATGATAAGCATAGCAAGTTCCATGAGACTTCAGTTGCATCTGGAGTATAAGCGGAGCCAAAATGTAACTATTTTAAAGGTAAGCTATAAGTCATCGTTATGTTCTTCACCTTTCACTTTTCTGTTCTGTTCTGTTGGGTGACATCGGACCAAATTTTAACATGGTCCTCACATTGTCCAAAGACAAAATTCTCAGTCGTGCAGTGTTACTGATTGCTGCGATTATCATGATTAATTTATGTGTTGAAGTGAAAGTACCGAGCCTTTTCAACGGAAAAATTGAACTTAGTCTAAAGGATTTAATCTAGTCGCTCGTTTCGATCAGTCGATTTAGAAATTCAGATAAAATTGCGAAGAGAGGGCACCTTTTTTCCTTGCGAAGGTCCCCATAAAATCTGGTGCATGATGGTGACGAGTCTGTACATAAGGCGTGAGCAGTTTAACGATAGAAAAGGGCAGAAGCTTAATGAGAACAATTTATTGTTTCTTTTGGTAAGATGTCTATTGGAAGAGGCTATGTCGACTCATAAAATCGGGTGAAATGATAATTAAAATGCACGGATGTGTTTTCTCGTCATTTAGAGGTCCCCACATGGTGGGTTATATCCATGGCAAAATATTTAATTGCGAAAATAATATGACCAAATAGACTTGACGATGTTTCCAAACCATGGACTTGAGAGGTAAAACTTCGCTGAGGGGAGCGAAGAAAGTTCCATGAAATTGTGTGGCAGAAAGACAGCAACAGATTCGACATTAAAAATTGGCGGGTAATAATTAATAACACACGCAAAAAAATAAAACAGTGCAAAGTGGCTCAAGAACACAAAATTGCTCAAGACGGCGTAAGTTAACATGCTTCGTTAATAGGATTTACGTATGAATTTAGGCGATGAAATCTTGCTGGAAACTGGTGCTAATCAAATACAAGGGGTAACTTTTTTCGTAGAGATACAGCGCCATAGTAAGAGTCCCCATGTGCTCTGCAAACAAAATTTCCCGCGCAATCCTGTAATCTATTACTGTGCTGATTAATTTATGTGATGAAGTACAACTGCATATCGAGCCTTTTAATGGAGAAACCTGGACGTTATTTATCAGAACTTACTTTAAAAATAATTTACCGTGTTGGTTTTTAGCTGAAAATCTACTTCAAATTCGGGGGATTTGTTAAAAAAAAAAAAAAAAAAAACGGAATTTTTTTTCTTGTGCGGGAATGGCCATATTATTTAGTATGAGTTCATAACATGTTTGCGTGGTCTTTAGTTGCTAATATTCTCTGTGCTGCAATATGACCCTCAAGATAATTTTTTGCGATGATAGCGACCTAAGGTGCCCACACGGTCTGTACACAAAATCGTTTGTCATGCTGTTACTGGTTGTTCGTTGTTGTTATTGTCATGATGAAATTATAGGATAAATTTGAAGCTATCGAATTCTTTTTTTTTTAAATAATGAACTTAATTTAACAGAATTTGCCGTACAGAAAGTTACTTAGTTGGTCGAGTAAGAAATTTGGGTAAAATTGAGACGAAAAGACGGATTTATCTATTTGAGAAGGTCCCCGTTCTTAATCACCGATCACTCGGCAAAAAGTGTAAATACGATGATCACAATGTTTACCAAATATAAATTTAAGGGTTAAAACTTTGCTAAGGAGAGCGAGAGCATTTCGATGGAATCGTGTGGTGGAAAGTGACCGAGAAATTTGACAGGGAATAAATTGGCGGGAAATTAATGAGAGGCCAAAAATTGATCTGTACAAATCGGCCCAAGGACGCAAAATTTCTCAAGACGGCGTAAGTAAAACGTTCCTTTGATGTGATTTATTTGTGAATTAAGGTAATGAAGCCTTGCTGGAAAACGGGCGCCAATCGGGGTAATCTTTTTGTGGATATAGCGCCATAGTAATTCACAGAGTCCCCTCATAATCTAAAAATAAAATTACCCGCGTTATCTTATCACCTTTTACTATGATTATGAATTTATGCGATGAAGTGCAGCTTTGTAGAACACTGAAGTTTATTTAAAAAATTTGTCTGTTGTGTTCGAGTGAAAAAAGGGCTCAAACAACTTGCCATCTTTTAGGAAAAGCAAAGGAACGGTAAATTCATTGGACAAATGTTTGCTACTTTTTTTTTTTAATTGGAAAAATTTACAAAATGTACGTGAATAGGGCGTTTGTTGTCTTTTGCCCGGCCCGCGAGAAAGAAACGTCTGCTGCTATTTGCTAAGGGAAGGTCAGAATCATGCGGATCACAGTAGAGATTTTGTCACTACCGGGAAAGATTCATGAAAATGTTGCAACATTTTCATATATGATTTTAAAGTTGGCGTAAGCCCGTTTTTGGAGATTTTTGGAGGAAAAGGGCGGCCTTTTCAGATTTAAGAAATCAAAAGAATGCGTCCTTCGGAATACTCCACAGCTTAAAAAATGGTGTAAATTTATTGATCTTAAAAATTTTGTGGTTATGTATTTTTTATCAGTTTATTAATTTATTTGGTAGCAGTCCTTTACAACAAAGAATGACCGAGGGAGGTACATCGGTTAGCCTCATGCTGGCTATAGCTACAACCCTGTTTTGTCAGACTCTCAGATCCCCAACTGAAGGCAATTCAATGTACTTTACAGCTACCCCACATATAGGTGACATGGAACTGCAACAAAACTCCTTCTTCCTCTTAGTCCAAGATCATTAGACTACAATCCCTTTCAGACTCTATTTTATGCTAAACTTCCTCGTACATCTTATTGTGTCCAGGGAAAAACTGTTCGACTAAAATCGTAGCCAAAGGTAATATGTGCGACACAGATAGAGCAAACAAAAGAGAACAATACCAAAAAAACAATATTATTAGAATGGTTTAGACGAAGAGGGTCAGCTTTAGAAAATTGGAACGCTTTGGAAATTACTAATAGACCATGGAAAGGCAATTACATTACTTTTCTTGCTAGCTTAAAAAATAGGCAGTCTAACCTTGCATGTGGCCACTGATATAGTATGACTTTTATAGCATTGAAGATAACTAGGGGTTGTATCATGATGCTAAAAGGTAGTGTTGCAGAAAATTTCCATTCACATGTAAAACAGTAAACTGCCGTAACCCACGTATCTATGAGTACCCTGTTTGTGGAGAGAAAGATGATTCGCGAATATAGTGATTGACTGACATTCAGGCAATAACTAAATGGTAACAAATAATCATAATAAAGATAATAATAATGGTAAATTTATAAGGGCTAGCTCGAGAACCTAACTGTTCTATCTCTAACCCTTTAACTCCCAGAAGTGATCAACATGAAATTTCTCCCGATAATGTCCTTATATTATCTTGCAAACAGCTAATGAGAATATTCAAACTTATCAGGTAGAAGTTGTTGTCCTGATCTAACACCAAATTCTCACAACTAATTTGCAAGGATATGTGTAGCAGCTAGAAGGGAGAATTACCAATCAGATCTTGGGAGTTAAGGGGTTAAGGCTAAGAGTGATTAACTCATTTACAGCTACTCACTCATTTCGATAATATATGTGGCTTTGCCTCCCACAGGAGGAAGTAGCCACAAAAAGGGAAGCAAAATGATCAACGGATTTGGTATAATTTTGTTTTAAGGGTGAGGTGTGTTCCAACAGAGAAGTTTTCAAAGGGTGATCTCCCTCTTCAATATAAAGGGGAACTTGTCTCAGAGGATGAAGGTTATCAAAGAGAAGATTTGCATGTGGAAGAACTAAGAAGCTTTCTCTTCTTTTTTAAGGATGGATTCAAGTGTTTACGGTAAGTTATTTTAATTATAATACAGTAAAACATCACTAACCGTAAGCGCCAAGTTAAACAAAAAAGATTTTAAGGTAGTGGGGGAGGCTGTCCTAAGACTACTGTACACAAATCGACCTGAATGAATTCAAAATAGGCTTCATGAGATTGTTAATCACTGATACTGAAATACATACTATTTTGTGTGTAATGTGCTTCATGATTTGTCATCATTTGCATATTACTCCAAATGAAATAAAATTACCATCAAAATATATGGTACTTTTTTTGCACTTTTTTGGCTTTATCATGAGTTGCATTTAAGTTTCATTGTAAATAAAGTAGTTGTGTAATTTTAGATGGGCTTGGTCTGCGCCACACAACCGAAGGAAGAACTGAAACTAAGTCATCAAACCTTACACTACACTTTTACAAGGAACAAATTGAGATTGCTTTTTTCCAATTATGACTTTGATTTTTGTGGATTTTCTAGCCTTGATGCAACATTCTCTGCTGGACTTGGAAGACTAAAGAACGATAATCCATTAAATAAAGCAAATGAGAAAGATTAAAGGTGAAGACAAAGTGTGCCTTGCCCTTTGTGGACTTCGGAACGGTGAAGGTCTACACTGTGACCATGAAGTTAGAGATCTTCCCAGGCGACAGCTAAAAGGTATTGCAACCTAACCATTAATAACCTGTTTTGGGAGACTTGTGTCATACTTAACAGAACTGCAGCAACTCTTTTCTTTGCTTGTGTTTCAGTGTAATGGACCCCATAAGCTATCAGGGTGTTTGCCCCATCTCTTCTAAAGATCATTTCGGTTTTTTTTTTCTTGTTTTGTTTTGTTTTGTTTTTTTAGGGGAACATTCATAGCCCTTAGGATAAAAAATTATAACATTTAATTCTCCATTCCAGAATTAGATTTACTCAAATGCAAACCGTTTCAGTCCTGTTATGATTACGTATATTAATCTCTCTTAACATGAATATTGCAAATACCATACAATCTGTCTAGATATCATGACAACTCATACCGTCCTTGGTCAAAACAATCTAAAAATTATTTTTTTAATAATACTTCAAATGATGACGACAATGATTATGATGATGGCTCCAATTATTCATTCCTGGTTTCACACAAATTAGCAAAACTCTACACATTTCTTTTTCTTAACCACTTAGGTAATGAGAGCAAGGCAGATGGACTAAAGAATGGGACAGTAAGGTGCAACACAAAAAAGAAGAAAATATGAACAAGGGCAACAGCAGTCCTGACAATGATGAAAGTTTCCACATGGATGTAACAACAAATTCTGAAGAGATTTACTCCCTGAATCAGATCAATGACTGTCTATTTGCAGACTCCTTGGAAACTGGTATGTACATACACACACCCTCTATTATATAAACTGCAGATGTCCCTTACACTCTAAGCCAATCAGTTCTTAGGGCTCTTTGGAAAATGAAAGATATTTTTTGCTGTTACAGAAGTAGTTTTCCAATATTAAATCCCCACTGAGTTTTTTGCAAGTGGCTTTTGCCATTTCAAATGTCTTCATAAATATCATTATACATTCTCTTCCAACGTCAAAGGTAAGTTGCAACCAAACAAAAGCCTTAAAAATCATAAAAACAATGAACTATTACTACCACGGCTAAAAGTAAAACAATGGTGTAAGAAAAGTGCAAGAAAAGGGGAGGAGTAAAAGTGAAAGGTGTAAGACTGCTTTTTGTGCATAACCAAACTGCGGAAGCTTATGATTTGCATCTGAAAGAACAGTATCTATAAATGGTGTTTTGGACAGTTTTCGCTCTTCAGACCCTCAAAGTGACTAAAAGAAACGGTTTGAATAGCTTCGAAAGACATTCTCAGACAAAACTCCCAGGAACTAATGCGTCAAAAGATGGTGGTTTTGACATAGAAGAGTTGAAGTTATTAAATGAAGTTTGGCTCTACTAAGAAATAATGATTATCATATATTCAAACTAAAACAAAACAAAAAAACTGTTACATTCCTTTTTCTTAACCATGTAGTTAATGAAGGTAAGATGCCAGTAAAAGATGGCAAAGTTGAGAGTAAGGTGCAACGCAACAAAGAACAAAATATGAACGAGAGCAACAACATGGCTGATGTTGATGAACAATTCCAGATAAATATCAAAACAACTAAGGATGTTTACTCCATGAATCAGAATAACTAAATATCTGCAGACTCCTTGCAGCAATGTCACGAGTGGAAACTTGGGTTGTGTGATAAGGAATGCTGGGTAAACGATGAAGCGAATTACAAAGCAATCGAATAATTAGAATCTCTGCCTTTCAATTTGGCTTAATTTAAAGGTAGTCACTAAATTTATATTGATAGCCACATATAAAGCAATTACCTGACATATTTTGAAGGAAAAGGAACTTGTTATGCTGAAATAAGCGACCACTTGCCACACAGGTCTATCAGAGAGTAATCATTTTACGAAATGGCATTGTAAGGGAGATACAAACTGGAAAGAAACATCAAACTAGTACAATAACACAATTAGTGATCAATCTTAAACTACTCAGATTTATTTTATTGACTGGTTGGATTGTTTTAATTTGGAGTGATTTTTGTCTGGCCCGTATCTTGAACAATATGATCATCTCTTAATCTGGCCATTCAGTTCCACAGTAGTTGTCCTTGCTCAACCAACGTTGCCCATTTTGTATAACTGCTTCAGTCAAATTTCCACAGACAGGTCATGTTCTACTCTCACTTACTTACACTTTTGTATACTGAACTGATCATGCTCCCTTATTGCAAAGAATTTCTGTAAGGGGGGGTTTCCAAATCCTTTTTCGGGTTGAGTTGTTCAAAGCTAGGTTTAGATAATCCAGGCTTAGTGTGAAATCTGGTTCCAGATCTGAAAGCTTTAAATGAAAATTCAATACAATTCTTTTTGTCTCCAATTTAAAAATTGGATGCTATGAAAAGAAAAGAGAAGATTATCCAAAAAAGGCTTTTGAAAGAAGGAATAAAGAAGCTTGGATAAAAATTTGACCCTGGGTTAATGCTTATTGGCCTTTGAACAACTGGGCCCAGGAATCTCTCATCAACTTCTTTTTTTTCCCACTGGGGCATATATATTTATAATGCTTTCCTAACTTAGAAGTTTCAAATTATAGTAATTAAGCTTTTTTTTATTTGTTCCAGTCTTGCCATAAACAAGACTTTCAGCATAACTCACTATTTTTCCTCTTGAATTCAAAGGGGAAAGAAATCTACATCTCCAGTTCCTTCTTCTTACAACGGTGGAATAATGCATCACAGAGCAATGCACCTGAAAAAGTCCTTCATTCTGTGTCAGGTAATAATGATTATTATGATAATAATACTTTTAAACATGCTTATAACATAGCATGCTTGCCCTATCTTAATCCAAATCTTATTTAAGTCGTATTTTCATCTCTTACTTCAACAAAGTCTCCAGTTATCAAGGAAAATGTCAAGAAAATTCTGGAATTGAGCTTCTTTAAGACACTCAAACTGACTGACCAAAAACATTGCCTGACAACAACAATGAAACCAGGAAGGGTAGATC